AGCCGCTCTGAGACACTTTTGGGTAGTGAAGGGCGGGGTATAAATCCAGTCTCTTCTTCTTCTTAAGTTGTGGAGTCTTGTGAGCAAAATTCTACTTTATGAGTTCCTGGCATTAGAGCTGTGAGCGAGCAATTTGGCCGCTGCATAAACTACTTTGCTCTGGAGCCATCCCTTCCTGAGCTGAGACAAAACTGTGTGAGCCGGAGGCTAAAAAACGGTGAGCTAGCTCACACTCACTCAGCTCAGAGGGAACACTGGTGGGCAGCGACTCTCCCTCTAAGCCGTGGAGTCTTGTGAGCAAAAATCCTACTGTGCGAGCAACCGGCATTAAAGTTATGAGTGAGCCATTTGGCTGCTGCATAAATTAGTTGGCTCTGGAACCCCATCCTACCTGAGCTAAGACAAAAGTGGGTGAGCTGGAGGTTAAAATATGGCGAGCTAGCTCACACTCACTCAGCTGAGAGGGAACACCGGTGGGCAGCGACGCTCCCTCTAAGCCGTGGAGTCTCGTGAGCAAAAATCCTACTGTGCGAGCAACCGGCATTAAAGTTATGAGTGAGCCATTTGGCTGCTGCATAAATTAGTTGGCTCTGGAACCCCATCCTACCTGAGCTAAGACAAAAGTGGGTGAGCTGGAGGTTAAAATATGGCGAGCTAGCTCACACTCACCCAGTTTAGAGGGACCACTGGTGGGCCGCCGTGTCTTTCTGAAGCAACGGAACGGCATTTGAGTCTGGTGGCATCTTTAAGACCAACAATGTTTAACTTTGGGTATAAGCCGAAAGGAAGCTCAGTTGTGGATGTGTCTGATGGTGAAAGGAAAGTCCGATGCTGCAAAGAACAATACTGCATAGGAAGCTGGATAGATGCAACGAACATGAAGTTGAGCCAACTTCAGAGGACGGCGGAAGACCGGAAGGCCTGGCGGGCTCTGGTCCATGGGGTCGCGAAGAGTCGGACCCGACTGTGCAACTGAACAACAAAAATAAGCTTTCGTACGCATGCACACATCTTCAGATCTAATCTAAAGAAGTGTGCTTGCACACAAAAGCTTATACCCAGAATTAAAGTTTGCTGGCCTTAAAAGTGCCACCAGACCCAAACTTTGTTCCCCTGGGCTTCAGCTACAGGATGGGATTATTTCGGTTGAAGAGGAGGAGAAACTTCTTAATGCCAAAAGCAATACCCCAGTGGAACCAGGGATCAAGGGGGAGGGGTGCGCTTCTACCTCACGGGGGATCTTCCAAGTGGGAGACCCGTACGGGGGCCAAGTGTGTTGGAGATCCTCAGACTTTTGATTTCCTGCATGGACTGGGGGAGGCAGACTGAAGGGTCTGCCAACCAATGCTCCCTCTGAGCTGTGGAGTCTTGTGAGTAGAAATTCTACTTTGTGAGCTCCTGGCATTAGTGGTGAGCGAGCGATCTGGCTACTGCAGAAATCAGTTTGCTCTGGAGCCCTCCTTCCTGAGCGAAGACAGAAATGTGTGAGCCGGAGGCTAAAAAAGCTGTGAGCTGGCTCACACTAACTCGGCTTAGAGGGAACACCGTTCTGGAGCCATCCTTCCTGAGCTGAGACAAAAAAATCTGTGAGCCGGAGGCTGAAAAACTGTGAGCTAGCTCACACTAACTCGGCTTAGAGGAAACACGGCTCTGGAGCCATCCTTCCTGAGTTAAAACAAAAAAAAAGTGAGCCGGAGCCTGAAGAACTGTGAGCTGGCTCACACTAACTCAGCTTAGAGGGAACACTGCTGCCAACATGTTTCCTGCGGCCTGACAAGAGCTTTTAGCAAGTGGGGGTGGGTGGGGGCTTCTGCCCCTCAAGGCTTCTAGATGGCCACTGGGGATCCGACTGGCTGTGCCGATTTTTAAAAAACATTGTTTTGGAGGAGCCTTTCGCACAGCAGTACAACGAACGGTCTTCACTGTGTGGCTGAAGGCCCGCGGCGTCCATTTTGTGGCCGGCGCTGCCTCTCACAGCAGCCATTTCGCGGCTGTGCCCACCACGCTGTGTCAGAACCCCAAAGTGCCCGCAGGCTGGAAACGGATGGGGGACCCCAGAACAATCAAGAGTAAAGAAGTACAGGTACACCAGTGCCAGGGTGGATACATCCCCTGTGCTCCTCTGCTCACTCAGCTCTCCATCAGGGATGCTGAGGCAGGCCGAGACAGATCGCCCGTAGAAGGTGGAAGATCACCCCCCGCCTACTTGCTGGAGAAAGGGGAAGCCCCCCCTGCCCAAGAACACCCTCTTTCTTCCTGCCCGATCCCTTTCCTTGCAACCCCCTTTTAGTCAGCCTCCCCTTTCTGCTCCTGGATGGTCTCCACCAATGCTCCCTCTAAGACGTGGAGTCTTGTGAGCAAAACTTCTACTTCGTGAGTTACTGGCATTAAAGCTGTGAACGGGCGATTCGGCTGCAGCATAAATTAGTTTCCTCTGGAGCCCCATCCTTCCTGAGCTAAGGCAAAAACGTGTGAGCCGGAGGCTAAAAAACTGTGAGCTAGCTCACACTAACTCAGCATAGAGGGAACACTGGTCTCCACCCTGGCCCTTTTGCCCTGGGGGAGGGGGGTCCTCAGTCCTGGCCCCTGCCTCCCCTCCCCCTCCTCTCACCTTAAGCCCATACTGGGTCAGGAAGGCATCCAACTGTGGGTCCCCCAGGAAGACACTCGGGTAGAACTCTTCCACACGCTGCCGTTCCCACCATTTCTGAGGAAGAGAACTAGAGGAAGAGAGGGAAGGAGCTGGTGAGAACATCAGAAGAGCCATACTGGATCAGGCCAGTGAGGGTCCATCTAGTCCAGCATCCTTCCTCCCACAGGGGCCACCCCCTTCCTCTGGAGGGCCAGCAACAGGGCAGAGAGGCCGAGGCCTTCATAAGAACCTCAGAAAAGCCCTGCTGGATCAGACCAGTGACGATCCACCTAGTCCAGCACCCCGTCTCACACAGTGGACCAACCAGTTCCTCTGGAGAGCCAACCGACAGGGCACAGGGGCCTTCCCCCTGATGTTGCCTCCTGGCTCTGGGATCCAGAGGTTTAGTGACTCCGAACGTTGAGGTTCCCCCGTCAGTCACCATGGCTTGTAGCCACCGACAGACCCCTCCCTCCATGAATCTGTGTAATCCCGTTTATTCCTGGGGCCATCGCTACATCCTCTGGCAGAGAATCCCACATTTTAATCACTCTCCGTCTTAAGCAGTATTTCTGTCTGTCTGTCCTGAATCTACCGCTCACTGGCTTCATTGGATGCCCTCCAGTTTTTCACATTTTGGGAAAGGGAGGAAACAAAGTTCTCTGTCTACTCTTTCCACCCCAGGCATAATTTTATAAACCTCTGTCGTTTCCCACCCATTAGTTGTCTCTTTACTAAACTAAAAACTCATCAGAAAGTTGCTCCAGACCCCAAATCTTGGTGGCTCTCTGGAGGTGAAACCAGAGGTCCCTGTGGGCGGCACTCCTCTCCCCCCCCCCCGCCCCGAGTACTCTCTTCCACTTGGGGAGAAAAGAGATGGATGGGGGCGGCACAGTAGAATTTCTCCACGTGGTCCTCCTGGACCGGTTACACCGCGAAGTATGACTAGATGGGCATACATTGTCCGGCATAGGAAACATTTCTCCCCTGTACTTATTATCTGTTTAAAATGTTTTTAGCCACCTTTCCACCTTGCAGCACTCAAGGCAGCTCAGAAGGGCATAACCACTGTCAAGCCGCAGCTGACATAAGGACAGAAGAGAAGAGAAGCCCATGTTGGACCAGGCCAATGGCCCATCCTGTCCAGCACTCTGTGTCACACGGTGGCCAAAAATACCAGGTGCCCTCAGGAGGTCCAGCAGTGGGGCCAGGACACTAGAAGCCCCACCCACTGTTGCTCCCCCAAGCACCCAGAATACAGAGCATCACTTACCCCTGATATAAGAACATAAGAGAAGCCAATGTTGGATCAGGCCAATTGCCCATCCCATCCAACACTCTGTGTCACACGGTGGTCAAAAATACCAGGTGCCCTCAGGAGGTACAGCAGTGGGGCCAGGACATTAGAAGCCCCTCCCACTGTTGCCCCACCCCCCCAAGCACCAAGAATAGAGCATCCCTTGCCCCAGACCAAGAGTTCCTATCTGTACCTTGTGGCTAAGAGCCACATAGACTTATGTTGACCCCGTAGAGTTTTCAAGGCCAGAGACGTTCTAGAGGTGGTTTGCCCTTGCCTCCCTCTGCATCACAACCTTGGTATTCCTCGGAGGTCTCCCACCCAAACACTAGTCAGGGCCGAGCCCTGCTTAGCTTCTGAGATCTGACGAGGCCGGGCTCGCCTGGGCCATCCCGGGTGAGGGCCGAGGCAGCTTACAGTGTAAATGAAACAATTATAAACTAAATGAGTCAAACGCAGTCCTAAATAAAACCGTCTTTAACTGCATCCCGAAGATCGAAAGTGACGGGGCCGGGCGGACTTCCTTGGGGAGGCCGGCTGTTCCACAGTCTTGGGGGCCGCCACCGAAAAGGCTCTCTCTCACGTCTCCCACCAGAGCCTCGAGGGGCTGCCAGCGATACTGTGGTCCTTCCCACCTAAACGCCTCACCCCCCCTCCCTTCGCCCGCCATCTTACTCACCCGTCCTCCGCATTTCCCGTGAACCAGTACTTATACAGCTGGGCCCGGATGTAAGCCGGAGGCTGCGAGTGGAACGGGTATCTGGACTCGTCGACCTGCACGAGGTGGATGACTGTGGGGAGAAGGGGGAGTTGATCAGCCCCAGAGGAAGAGAATAATCCCTGCAAGGAAGGAGCCCACGCTGTACTGC